GGTTGCACCAATCAAATAAAGTTTTGATGATAAATCCGTAGAACCTGCGGTGTTCTTGGTGTCGGTATTGGTATCCGTAGAATATATACCCTTTGATGTAACTCCAGTAACGTGACCCGCAGCGTCAACAATCACACCTGTGACCACTTGAACCGCACTACCGGAACCAGTTGCATTTGTTGCTGCTCCACCGGAAGCAGATTTGGTTGTACCACCAGAAGGAGTATAGTGATTACCAACTGAAGTTACCTTGGTATCGGTATTGTCAGATGCCGGCATTGTGAATATATATGAATTACCACCAGCGGTCAATGCATATTTTCCACCATGTGCAAGTGTGATTTGATTTGTGCCTGTTGATGTTGCAATTGATGTTGTATGGGTGTGATTAGACAAAGCAACATTTGTACCATTTACATTTGGTGTTGTTGCAAATTTTATAACTCCATCTTGTGTTATATTAATAGCATTTATTTTAGTTCCTGTTTGGTTATCAGCAACAAGTTGAAGAGAATTATTAATTCCACTACCAGAACCCAAATAATTCAATTCAAAACCATATCCAGTACTTGAAGCGGTGTCTTTTATATCAAGAATTGTTATATCAACATCACCGTATGCCTTGATGATTGGAGAATTACCATCTCCCCTTGTTATTGTGCCTGTCATAGTCCCACCAGATAAAGGAAGATAACTATGTGTATGTCCGGAAGTTGCTGCACCAATACCCGCTGGAGTTATTCCTGCTTCACTCAATGTTTTCCAAGATAAACTTCCGGCAGTACTACCCGCTACAAGAATCTTACCATTACTTGTTGTATTTGTTGCTGGAACATGAAGATTACCATCACCAGTTGGGTGTGAATAGTTATTAGCACCACTTGCAATTCCATTAAGTTTACTTGCATATTCCTTTGTCATATAACCATCCGCAGATGATGTTGCTGCTGGAATTGTTGTTGTTCCACCAGAAAGGACGTGACCAGCATTCAATGATGCATACAAAAGAGGATTTTTCCAAGTGTTGGAACTTGAACCAGCAGAACCAGAACCACCTGTATTACCATATGTATATGTAGGTAATGAGGTCCAAGACAAACTACCGGCGGTACTACCGGCTGTCAAAACCTTGCCGTTATTAGATGTTCCCGTTGCTGGAACATGAAGATTGCCATCACCTGTTGGGTGTGAGTAAACCGTATTGGTATCTTTATAATAAACAACACCGTCTATGATAGGGGATGCTGTCAATCCGCTTGTTGAAGTAACAGTTGATGTGGTCTTCACTACACCAAGAGTTCCATTGGCACCGGTTGGTACACCCGTCAATATAGACCAAGGATGAGATGTCGGATGAGTATAAACAGTTGTTTCTGTTCCGTTTATTTTAATATTTCCATTGGTTGTAGAAGATGCCGTGTTAGTTGCATCTGTTCTTGCGTGTGTTGCTTGTGAATGATTATATGCAATAGCACCTCTATCACCTCTATATGCTGTAGCAGATGTCTCGCCAAGTGCAAGTGTTTCTGATATTACAACATAACCGCTTCCACTCCACCTATATGTCTTGTTGGTATCCTGTGCAATATATATCTTACCCGTTTCTCCTGTTGTTGGGAATGAACCAGAATTGGCATACTCAAGAACATCATCAACATAGCTGGGGAGTTGTGATGAAGGAACCTTACCATTGCCGTCAAGTTCCGCCAAACCATTGGCGGCACCCTTCAAAGATGTGTTTAATTTTGCATCAAGGGAATCCTTTACCAATTTCTCTGATGGATAACGAGTATTGTTGGTTGTAGAAGACCAAGAAGATACCTTGTTTGATGTATTTTCTTTTCCAGAAATATCCTGATGTGCTGTCAGAACCTTTGTGCCACCACTATAAAGATATCCTCCGGACATATAACAAGAGGCATTAGTTATTGCTGTTGCATTTGACCCTTGAGATGAATGTCCAAGTAAAAATGCCTTTCCCGTTCCGGAAGCATCGGTAACCTTGGTATTGGTATCGGTTGTACTAATTGTGATTGTCCCTCCGGATGAATCCGGAGTCAAAGTAACATTACTATTTCCGGCAACCAAAGTAACACCAGTTGTGTTTGTTCCAGTAACGTATGTAGAACCTACAGTTATGGAAGTTCTATCCGTATCAGTAAATTTGGCATTTGATGGAACATCACTTTCCACAGTGTGTCCGTTAACCTTTGTAGCATCAATACCATGCTCAACATTACCACTATCCTTTATTTTAGAAATCAAAATTGGATCTGCCATAATTATTAATTTAATTCTATAATGTATTTATGAGTTTGTCCTTTCATAGTTAAATGAAAAAAGGTGGTCTTTTGACCACCTTTTTTCATCATATTTTTGTCTATTTCTGAACTGTCAAAACGTGTCGGTCAATGGTTACGTCAGCACCGACCACCTTCCACCCAAGAAAATCAGCAATCTCTCTAGGTGTCTTGAATCCGTTTGCATAACTTCCTCCAACATAAAGAGAAGCGTCATTCTTCAAACCAGCGGTATTAAGTTTCCCGACAAACTTGTCATCATCAACCAACATCCAAAGTTCATCACCAACAGAAGCAATAAGACCTTTGTAAAGATACACAGTATCTCCATTATAAGGCCAGTTGCTTTTGACTATCATCTGCTCCCAATCATCCCAACGAACTCTGGGATCAAGGGCATCGGCTTTTGTGACCTCATAATTGGCCGCAAATTGAAATGTTCCTTTAAGTTTATTATCTGCCATAGTCCATTAGAATTTCAATATTATATAAATCGGGTCATTGTTAGGACCCTTGTAGATGTATGTGTAATAATCTATACCCGCATCCATATTGGTGTCTCTTGACTTCACCCAACCGGCAGGAACTCCATCAACAAGGTCAAGTTTTGTCCAAACATTGCTTGCTGTATTGAACTGCCAGAACTCCGTGATTGCTCTTGGAGTGCTTAACATCTGTTCCTCCACATTATATTTATGGGCCGCAAGCAGTGTTCCGTTTGAAGAACTTGCTGGTTTGGAGGTGTCTCCGGTAATCACATCAGATATACCTGCCTTTGATATCTTGGGTTGAATGTCCAATGTTCCTCCAACTGTTGTACTTGCATACCAGTTATAATAAGGAGTAAGCGTGTAGTATGAAGTATACTTGGTTCCACCCTTATATCCAGCACCTTCCTGTGTGATTCCCTTGTTATCCTTGGGGTCATCTCCGGCAAGGAACTTGGTACTCGCCCTGAACTGGATGATATCATCGGACATTGTATAGACTCCTTCTACCGGAGCCGGAAGATTGTTTGCAGAAAAACTTGTATTCTCGTGTCCGTTGGATGCTGTCATCCCATTGTTGTATGTCCAAGAACCCAAATTATAACTGAGGTGACTTTCAAGATTGTCATTGGTGATGACAAGATTTGTGATGTCTGTTCCCACAAGAACATCCTGACTTGTGACATTCTTCCAACTCAATGAAGGATCTGTCTTGACCGGTGCGATTGTAGGGAAAAGAATCATATCAAACATTTCTGAATATGTGTACCTCTTGTCTGCAAAGGTTGTTGCCGATGTTGCAGGAAGACCCTCATGCTTGATGGAAGTCATATTTGCATCCTGAATAAGTTGGGAAGGAATATAGACACTGCCATCTTCAAGAGCCTCAACCCTTTCAATAACCGAAGGTTCACTGTCCGAATCCTCTGAAATTCCAAGAGTCTCTTCAAGTCTTTTGAGGGCAAGTGCAACTTCGGACATTGAAATGATGTCATCAGCATCAATGTCACTTGAACCGAGAAGTTCTGCAACATATGACCTGATGTCATTTATATCCTCATTGTGCTGAGCTCTCAAAGCGGCAATTTCCTTCTTTACTGAACCATCTGTGGAGGCATCCCCATTGAGCGTCTCCACAGCATCTGTAAGTCCATTAAGGATTTCTGCTATACTCTTTTCACCATTTACATCACCAATTATGGAAACGATGTCAGAAATGGACACATCTACATCACTTCCACCAAGAATCTCATTAATCCTGTCAACGAGTTCATCATTGCCATTCTTGATAAGAGCCTTGATAAGAGCGTCATAAAGATGGAGACCATCATAATCTAAGTATTGTGCCATTTTCTTATTCCTTTAATTTATTATTCAAAAAGTCCGTTAATCTTATTTTCTGGAATAGCTTCATCCTCTTCCTCGCGGATTGCATCAAGTCTTTCCTCGATACCAGCAACCTTGTCAAGAAGATTCACATCCTCGCCATCAGAACCACCTACACCTATAATCTCCTCAAGAGCAGAAATTCTCTCATCCGCTGAATCATAGGCAGCACCGGCCATATTGATTGCATCTTCAACATCACCCTTAACTCCTTCAATTGCTGCGGCATTCTCTGCGATTGCAGCGGCATTGTCAGCAATGTCATTTGCATTCTTTGCAAGATTTTCGGCGATGTCAACACCATCAACATCACTTCCACCAATCCACTCAACAATCTCCTTGAGTGTGTCAAGTGCCTCTGGAGCACCACCAACAAGTTCATTGATTGCCTGATCAACCTTGGCGTCAATCTTACCATCTATTGAATCCTTACCGGTTCCAAGAAGAGCTGCGATTGCATCAGCATTTGCATCAATTGCTTCCTTGAGTTCACCAATGCTTGCAATGGAGTCTGAGTTTGCGCCTGTAATTTCGGCAATAAGTTCTTTAACAGAGTCAATATCCTCATCATGTTTAGCATCGAGAGCATCAATCAAAGCATATACACCTGTTGCCTCACCACCATCAACAGCGGGAACTCCAAGAGCCTCGGCGATGTCTACCAAGTTAATATCAACATCACTTCCACCAAGAACATCATTAATCTTATTAATAACCTCAATCTGATTGTTCTTAATAAGGGCTTTGATAAGACTATCATAAAGGGATAGACCTGCATAATCTAAATATTGTGCCATATTAATTTAATTGTTTATTTTGTATTTCTTTAAAAAAGTTTTGTAATATCTTCATCTGAAATAACATCAACATCAATAGAAGTCTCTATATTGTTAATGTTGTTTGTTATGTTATTTATCACTTCCTGTATGGAAACTTGTTCCTCCTCACTATCAGAATCACCCTGAATAGTAATCATAATATTATCACCGATGTTGTCTATCTTTTCATCAAGTTCATTCTTGTCTGTTTCTGTAAGAACTCTTTCTATTGTTCCATCAACATTGATATATGCAACAGGAAGATAACTCTCCCTGTAGATATCAACATCATCATAATCTATCTCATCACCGAAAACATATGTGTCACCATTATTGGTCTTGATAGTCCATCCTGTAAAATCAACATCATTTCCGAAAGATACAGATGTTCCCTTTGCTATGTCAGCACCATCAACAAATTCACCATCCTCAACAAGAATCTTTGAGGGGTCAATTCCAAGGCTGTCATCCTCAATATGAATATTGGCCCAGTTGTCTCCGTCCTTGTAAAGTCTGATGTATGAGTCTCCGGATGCATCTGCAGGATAGATATCTATATAATCAACATTAGTAAGAAGAGGATTATCTTCACCCGTTGAATTGAGTCCCTGTGATGTGTAGAGTCCTTTACCTTTCAAACCATCCGACACATATTCTGTAACTACTGCACCTTTGTCTGTTGAAACAGAAATACCTTCTGGTGCATTAGTAGAATCAATATTGGTGTCATAGTTGAAATAGTTGTTGGTCACTTGATTTCCGGTTGCCACAGGTTTCCAGTTATCAAGATTTGATGCCGGTGTCTTTGTAAGGATGAAAAGACCACCCTCTTCAGATTCCTCACCATCAACAAACACCATCATACCCGGATAGGCAAACTGAACTGTTGCCAAATCATCTACGGATGTTATTATCTTTGTAGCGGCATCCTCTGGATTGAAATCAGATCCTCCAAGTTTCAACCACTTGGCAGCATTCAAAATATCCTTGCGGTTGCCGGATGTACCTATGAACACATATTGACATTGTTCCGATATGACATACACCACAAGTCCAGTGTATGCATTCTGGTATCCACTTGCCGAAGCATCAAGCAAATCATCAAATGTATTGGCAACAAACCTGGTATCAATAGGTTTCTTTGCAGTTACATCCAACGCATTTGGAAATGCCGGATATGTAGTTGTATATGTTCTTGCCATATTATTCTTTGACTATTATTATTTTGTATCTTACAGTACTACTCAATGTGTTATAGTAAGGATCACCCTCATAATCTCTCACATAACTTTTATATGTGACTCCGTGATGTCTCTGTTCTTCCCCCCTCATATTGACAACCATTGGAATAGGAACTATATAGTCCTTTGCAAATGCATCATCATACTGCATAATGTTATCTATCTTATATCCAAGAGGAACATCAACCCTAAAGAATATACCATACTGCTCAAGACTGTCATCCCCTATATATTCAGGACCAACATATACTTCAAACACATTGGCTTCAAGAGTTTCATCAAGCTGGTATTTTCTTACAATGGTGGCATCTGTGATATCCTCATCATCAAGAAGATAACCATTCACATAGAAGTAGATTCCTTCCTCTACTTCAGGATTGTCTTCCTTTTTTTTTTCAAGCAGGAGATTCACATAATCAATGACATCCTGAACCTTTGCAAATCCATCAACCACGGCTGCATCAGAATCCTCAATTTCACTCTCCGCCGGGAATGAACCTATTGTGAGGTCATCGGGGATTGAATCTATCTTTGCCCTATCTTCATCAGACAATCCTTCACCTTCTCCTTTCAAAGAGGCAAGCCATTCTGCTTCAGTTCCTTCAAATCCATTGGCAAGTGCAATCTCATATGCAGACTTACCATCGGCACCGTCTTGACCATCTGTTCCATCGGCACCTTTCAAAGAGGCAAGCCAAGTAGATTCATCTCCATCAAATCCTTTTGCAAGTGCTATATCATATGCAGAAAGTCCATCTTCTCCATCCTTACCATCGGCACCGTCTTGACCATCTGTTCCATCTGCACCTTTCAAAGAGGCAAGCCAAGCATCAATGGTTCCGTTGAAACCTGCAACCACAGCAAGTTCATATGCTGACTTACCATCGGCACCATCTTCTCCATCCTTACCATCGGCACCATCTTTACCATTCTCTCCATCTTTACCAGCAGGACCTATTGGACCGGTTGCACCAGTATCTCCCTTTGTACCATTGAGAAGAGAAAGTTTGGAACCATCCGAAAGAATAAGATCATATCCATTTGAGGTCTTTGTGAACGACTTGATTGTCTTGACTCCGGACATAAGAGCTTTCACATCGGATGCAACCTTTTCTGCATCCTTTGCAACCTTTTCGGCTTTGGCTGCGGCTGCTGTTGCCTTTGCTGCGGCTGCTTGTGCATCTTCAATTGCGGATGCAGAACCAAAAAGATCAAGTTTGTACCTCTTCCCGTTCCAGTCATAGAAGAATTCATTGGTGTCTGTAGTATGATACAACTTACCATTGGAAATCGCCTTGAGTTTTTCACTCAAAACACTCTTCTTGCACTCGGTAACTCCAACACTATTAAAAGACACCTCAGCATGGTGTTGTGGTGCCCTTTGCTCAAAATTGTAATTATAATTTTTATCCATTTCTTTTTGTTGTGATTTTCTCTTTACCTTATATGTATTTATGAAAATATAAAAAGAAAAGGGAACTCATATAGAGTTCCCATATCCTTATTTGAATAACTTGGTTAACGGTTTGGTAAGCAATTCTAGAAGAGGTGTTTTTGTTGCAATACTCTTGTTACTCTGAACAAGTTTGTTAATATTGACAGCCACATCCTTTCCGGCATTAACCAAAGTTTGTGTTGAAGTCTTGGCCTTAGCGGTATTGGTTTCAATCACATTTCCAAAGGTAGAATAAACTATAATGTCATACTGCTTTGGTCTCAATGAATTCCTATCTGTCCATATATCAAGACCTATGATATTTGCAAATTTGGCATTCTTCACACTCAAGTCTGTTGCCTTGTTTGCCGAATCTCCAAAGATTGCACCATTGTAGTCCAACATCCTGTACTGGAATATGATTGGCACTCTCAATGAAGAACCAGCATTTATAACTCTGCTTGAATTTGCAGTATCTCCATCAACCTGTATTTCATTATGATTGACGGGACTCAAGAAAAGATATGAGTTGCAAGATTTCTCACCATTGGCATATCTGTCCTTATCCTCGTATCCAATCTTATGGGTTGTGAGATAACTTCCATCATCCAATGTTCCTTGAGAACCATCAAGGTCTATTCCAAGAAGTTTACCCATATCTGCAAACCCATAAGCTGTCTGGATTTTAGGAACCACTGTATAAGTTGACCTACTATAGTTCATAAGATTGGAAACCCTTGTTGCATTCTTATCTGTTGGGTTGCTTTGTGCGGATGGATCTTTAATTGTCAAGTTTGCAATATTATATTTTAGCTGTCTGGAGCCACTATAATTTTGTAAACTTATTGAACAAACTCCGGTTGTAAATGGACCATTTATGGTATATTCCCCATTATCATCCAGCACTCCAGTTGCATTTATAGATCCACCAATTATAATAGTTTTTCCCGTAACCAGTTCATTTGTAATGGCATTAACACATTTAATAGTAATAGAACTATCATTTATAGTTGGTTCTTCTGGAGTAAATGATACTCTATAGGATGAAGATGTTCTGGATGCACCACTAGAACCAGATGAAGCCGAACTCCTACTTGATGATGTACTCCTCACAACGTTTTTAGTATTATCAACACTAAAATCCAAAGTCCTTCTTTTAACCTTTAGATTATTAATAAGTCTTATGGTTGATGTGTCCGTCTTCTCCCAAGTTCTAGGAAGACGGTTAAGAATCATACATATATCATTTTTATTGTTTGAGTCTATATCCTCAATTTCGGAACCAGTGATATAATTATACTCATTGATAAGCATTTCTATTTCATTACATTCCTCCCCATTGATTTCATCATAATACTTCTTGTTATCAAAATTAGGTATATCATCACCTCCACTATATGTCTCGCCATCAAGGAAAGGTGCGTCATATTTAAATGTTGCCTTTCCATTTTCCAATGTGTTGGCATACATGTCAAATGTATCGCCTATATTCCTGAAACGAGAATATACAAATTGACCTCTACATTGTGCAGACTGGTACATACTTGGCGAACCAAGCTGGAAATCAAGAAGTTCTGGGTTTGTAAGATTAATAGGCACCAAGTCATACCTACCCTGTTCCATATAATAAGTAGAACTTGATGTACTTGGAGTAACTATATTATCATAATAACCATAATCATTTCCATCATAATCCGAATCTTCCGGCACTCCGGTTATCAACCTACCACTATCATCTGTAATGGTATAGTACTCTGCGTTGATACCACTGCTT